TGTAGGAGCTAACCAAAATCAATGTCGGGACAATTTAAAGAGGTCATGCCGGACCGATGTAGAGAACTGGATGTTGAGCCAACAAGCGTGGCACACACATAACTAATGACGTGGTGCTGAACGATGATGGCAATAGATAACTGAGTACGCCATGGGGCGACTTGGATTGTGCGCAAAGGGGGCGGCTTGGGTTGTGTGTCAAGGGGGCGGCTTGGGTTGTGCGCCAAGGAGATGGCATAGAGAGTGCACCAAAAGGAGGCGGCTTAGATAATGCGCCAACGAGGCAGCTTAAAGAGTGCGCCAAAGAGGTGGCTTAGGAAGTGCACCAAGGAAGCGGCTTAGATGGTGCGCCAATGAGACGGCTTAGTAGTGGTTTGGGGCTTAGGTGGTTCACATGGTATATCACCATACTTACCATGATATAGGTATAATACCCCCCCTCAAACTCAAATAGGTGTGAAGATAGATACCTATTTGAGGTTAAAGCAGAGAGAAAGACAGAGTGGGGCAGAAGCACAAAAAAAAAAATATGATAGAGATATTTAGGGTAGGAATAAACCAACGGATAAAAGAAGAGATCAGCACGAAGTGATATTGACAATAAAATATGACAGCAGAATAGGTTGAGGTTCGGCGGACGGCCAAGGCAAGGCTGTCGCCCGCCAGTAAGGCGAAGAACACCAAGAGCTTAACCTATAGCTCTGATATCATGTTAGAATAGTAGAGAGAGAGAATAATATGTATTGTATTGAATGATATGTAGAGTTGAATATATTCTATACAATAGAATGCCTATATATATAGGTTAAGAAAAAGTATCCTACTAAAAACTTAATTATGAGAAAGAGTATCTTACTAGAAACTTAACTATGGCTATTCCTAAATATATCTAAGAAATCAATACCTAATATGTTTAGGAATATTACATACACATTAACAATGAGAAAAGGTTGAGAGAAGACTTCGAAATTTTCATTTTTGAGGTAATAAATTTGGTAAAAAAAAACGTCAAATACTCATTTTGGAATGAGTACTATATGGTCCAATGAGTAACACGGTAAGTAGTGTTTTAGAAAGTTAGTGAAAATTTGATTTTTGATTTTTTTTAATCAAAAAAATTAGTTTTTTGGGTAGTGATTTGGGTAAAAAAATTAACTTTTTTTGCTAAAAAACACTAAAAACTAACTTTTTGCTAGCTTTCTAAAGTGAGCTGTGCTCTTTTAAAAAGTTGGTAAAAAATTAATTTTTAACTTTTTATCAATTTTAGATCACATTACCTCTCACATAACTTATCCATAAAAAGACAAAATAAATTAAAAAAACTAAAAACTTAACATTTTATTAATTTCTCAAAACACCCCTTAAATCGACCACGCATTCCACATCACATTTGTCAAGTGTGTGAGTCACATCAAATTAATCAATGCAACACTAGTGATCATTTTGATAAATTAATCAGTTTATGAATCATTATTGTATTGAAACTAATATTGTTGTATTGTTACATTATACTAAGATATTTAGATCTAGAAGATATATTATTGATTTATTCATTTTTGTTATTGTTTCATATCACTAAAATATATAACAAGATAATATTTTCTTTTATTGATTGAAAAATCTTATATGTCACCTTTTTTTTGTCACAATTTTATATCACCATTTATGTGAACATTCATAATTGGTTCTTTCTTGAAAAACAATCATTAACGAAATAATAAAAATAAATAATATTAATACCATGTATCTGATGATATAAAACGCTAAAAAAAAAAAAATGATATACAACCGTCCTCTTAATGATTATCTCCAAACAACAAATAAACCAATCTTGTTTGCTTGATTGTCTTTTTTATTTCATTTGGATTATGTATTTTTCACTAGAACAAGTAAATGACTGGTGTTATGTGGCACAAAACCAGATTCACATTTTTTTTTTAATGCCATGTGAATAGGCATGAATTGTGTAACATGAGGTGGTGTTGACAGTTAAAAAAGCAGATGAAGTTCTTGGCTCAATTTCCTAGAAATTATGCATGGGATCTCCTACTCTAAAAATATATCTCTGTCCTAAACCTTTTCTTTTTTCTTGCCCATCAATTAGGGTTATAAAATGAAATTCGATTCATATTCGACTATTTGATTTCGATTCGTGTTTGATTAGTTAAAAGTTCATTCGATACTGGTTTATTATTTAAATAAGTCATATTTGAATATATTTTAAGCTCATTAAGGTTTTAAGTCAAATTTAAATAATCTACTTATTGCCCAATCTTGGATCGACTCAATCCACTTATAAGTACGATGCGGCAATTCCAAATTTAAAACAATTATCTTCTCTCACCATAAGATCAAGAGGGAGAGCAAACCAAAAACAGAGATGAGAGATCTAAATTTCTTCATATCAAACTGACTTTTTTTTTTTTATAATCAAGATAGATGCATCTAGGACAGCTCTATAAAATCTTGATTTTATTTTTAAATAAAAAATTTGTTTAAATTAAATACGATGACTGCACATTTGTTACATCACATAGCATCCATCTGGGAGCATTAGCCGATCTGGTACATCAATACATGTTCCTATGCCCATTCCAATATTGTCTAACTTTCCTAACTCTCCCTTCTCAATCCATATCTTGTTCATTCTGGAAACACGTCTTCCTATTCTTGACAACTCACTGGGTGGCTCAAGCCTCGCTTCATGATCGTCTCCCTGTGGATTGGGTCTCCAATCCTCCTCCTGCTCTTGCTATGTTGCTAGGAGAGTCCTAGTTTTGCTGCCTTTGTTGTTTTTTCTTCCCTGGGTTTCTTCTGTTATAATTTCTTTGTTCCAAAAAACAAAAACACAAAAAACAAAACTTAACCCATATTTGAGATGGATTGTAGTGATGGCAGGAGAGGAATATTAGAAGCAAAGTAAAAATAAAATTAAAAAAAAAAAGAGAGAAGAAAATTGGAGATAAATCCAATCTAAGGAAGACATTTTAGTGATAAGGCATTAAGACCAATGGATATTTTTTGTTGGTGAAAGGTCTACCATTTATGGTTTTGGAAGACATTTTGTTTTCAATTTTACCTCTTAAATTATCTGTTGACTTTTTTTACTATCTGTTCAAATTTATATCTATTTGTTTAAATTTATATCTATCTGTTCAATTTTTTTTAGTATATGTTCAAATTTATATCTATCTGTTGAATTTTTTTCCCTATCTATTCAAAATCTGTGGGTTTCTCTTTCTATCTGTCTAAAATCTGTGAGTTTCTCTCTCTCTATCTGTTTAAAATTTGACTGAGGATATCTCTCTCTATCTGTTCAAATTATTTTCTTATCTGTTCATTTTTTTTATCTATTCATTTTTTTATCTTTACATATCTATTGAAATTATTTTTTCCTATTTGCTCAAATTTACCAAGACTATTTTTTTTTATTACCTTATCTATTGAATTTTTTTTATTTGTTAAAAAATCTGTTAAAATAACAAACCTACTTCATAACTCTCTCTCTCTCTCTTTCTCTACTTCCATGACTGGGTTCACTATTTGGGAGCACATCCTCCTTATGCGACTGTTGTTGTTTCCTCTATATTCTAACTATGTATATATATATATATATATATATTTGTTTTAATAATCTCTCTCTCATTCCCTCTTTGTTCATTGTCTGTCTGTATGTCTTTCTGTTTGTCACACCAACACCAACACCAAAACAACAATAATATTATTACTATTATTATTAATCAAACCACAAAACTCAACACACATAAAATTATTCAAAAAAATACCCACTCCATTCCACTACCATCATCACCGAATACAATTCACCCAAACAAAACAACAACAAAAAATGAATACAAAAAGTATGCAATTATTTGGCTGACGCACAATTTCCAGATTCATAGATCCAAGTTTGCACTCCTCCAAACGTTGTTGCTTTACTACCCGAAAACACACGTGAGCTAGTCGGTGGGTGTGTGCCAGAAACCCTTCCGATGCTTAAGTTAGCAAGTAGACAATAGACAATAAGCTCTGTATATTTGTGAGTAAGAATTACAATACCTCGAAATAGGTTCTGCCATGAGTTTTTATAGATTTCGTGACACAATCCTAGAAAGATTCTATCTCTCCTTAACAGAGTCCTCCTAGGAATCACATTCTTAAAGGATAATGCTTATCCTTAGAACACCCTTCTCATTGCCAACCAAGTGAGATGGTTCAAACTCTTTGCTTGGCTCTCGTTGTGGTCAACCGAGCAATCACAACAACGCTTCCTCTGGAAAAACTGCGTTAATCCTGGCTATAGAGTGGCACCCTGTCAACCTACACATAGCTCGGCCCTCTTTATTGAAGATACCTCAGTCCGCTAATGGACTATTGATAACTAGGTCCAGGTCCAGCATCCCATCTCTGACCGGTCTAGTGCTTGCTTAACCTAAGATTGAACTATCCTAGCTAGGGCTGAGCAAGGAATCCGTAAAATCCGTAATCCGATCCGGTCCAATCCAATCCGATAGATTTGGATTGGTTTTTTGAATCCGTGGTTCGGTTCCGGATTGAAAATTTCAAAATCCGTAGGCCACGGATCGGCTCCGAATCCGTGGTTCGGTTCCGGATTGAAAATTTCAAAATCCGTAGGCCACGGATCGGCTCCGGATTAAACCCCACGGTTCCGGATTGGAACCGTTTTTAAGACTTTGTATTTTCTAGGGCTGAGCAAGGAATCCGTGAAATCCGTAATCTGATCCAATCCAGTCCAATTCGATAGGTTTGGATTGGTTTTTTGAATCCGTGGTTCGGTTCCGGATTGAAAATTTCAAAATCCGTAGGCCACGGATCGGCTCCGAATTAAACCCCACGGTTCCAGATTGGAACCGATCCGGACCATCTAGAAATAATCTATATTTTTATACTATATACCTTCCAACACCATATAATTTCTTATCTGATATAAAAACTAAAATGTAACCTAACCTAATCCAGCAGCCTCACTCATTCAGGCCTCTCACTCTCATCTCAGGTCTCTACATCGATGGTGTCTCTCTCTCTTCTCTTTCCCATCTCAGACTGAGTTCTCTCTCACACTCTCATCCATCTCAGATCAGATCGGTGTGCTGTTGCTCGTCTTTCTCTGTCGGTGAGCTAGCTCTCTCTTTCTCTCTCTCGGTGTTCTCATCTCTCATCTCTCTCTCTCTCGGATCGGTGACTATTTTTGTTCCTTTGTTCCCAGATCATCTCAGATTATTTTCTGTTTTTATTTTTATTTTATTTTTTCTGATTTCAACTCTGTTTTGTGTTGTTTGTTTGATCAATCTGATTGTATTTCATGTAGATATTTTCTCGATTTTTCCATCTTTTATTAATGAGGGGAAAAAGATTATAGAACAGGGGTTGTTATATGCTCTTGTTTTTCTATTTTTTCCATATTTTCTCGACATTGGAAGAAAGGAAAAAGTTATATGCTCTTGTTATGTTGGTTGCTGCTATTATTTTTGTTTGTAACCAATCTCAAGCAGGTTGAGGCATTAAGATTGGGCTTGGGTTCCAGGGGAGAGCCTCTACAAGAACACTTCTGAACTTCTTCATTAAGATATGGGGTACATGTAGAGACAGTGTTTGGGTGACCTTACCCTACATCTGCCTTGATTGGTGGTTCATCGGTGGTGATGGTAAGGCTAGTACTCTTTGATTGAGACTCATCTATGCCACTGTTTGGTTTGATGGAGGTTTTAGGTAAAGATGAGAGACACATCTACAAAGTGTGTTAATAAAATATATTTTTTGATTGGTTTAAAATTTTTGAATGTTTAAATTTTGGTGGGATCAATACAGTTTTTGAATATGAGATTCATAATTTTGGACCAATTAGTTCGTGACAGATTTATTTTTGTTCATGGAAATGTAGTGTTGCAGTTTTTGAGAAGCAGCCAAAAAATTTCAAGCTGATTTGTGTTCTAACTATGAGAAATATATGGAAAAGAAACACATCTGCAGAAGAGTGGAAAAGAGAAAAGAATGAGAGAAAATAGAGATGTACAAATACTGTATTTGAAATTTTAGTGGACAACTCATGGAGTTCTTCCAAACTTTAATTTGTAATTGTATCTTCAATCTCATTTCAAGTCATGTTTACTTATATAATCTTGTTTACAAATTTTCAGCAGCTATGTTGCTATTGGAATGGAAATGCTATTGGAATGGATGTTGTTTATTTATATTGTTTACAGGCTGCTATTGGAATGGATGTTGCTTAATTATATTGTTTACAGGTTTTCAGCAGCTATGTTGCTATTGGAATGGAAATGTAATGTCTATATTTTTTTTTATTTAATTATTTAAATCCGTGGTCCTAAACTGATCCAATCCATGTTTCAACGGATTGATTCGGATTGGTTCCACAATTTAAATGGATTGGATTGGTTTTAATTTTTCAGGAACCGTAGATAACGGAGTCCTGGTTTTCTCCCAATCCGGACCAATCCGGTCTATGCTCACCCCTAATCCCAGCTCTCAAACCGACCTACTACGCGACCCAATCTCCAAATATAATCTTACCTAGCTCGACCCAATTTGCCTACACAAATTACCCTCTCAATAGATCTACCCAATTAATTATCAACAAAACTCATAAACAATTATATATATATATATTGGGGGTGTATGGGAAGGGCTTTTTTGGGGCTTTTTAGGCTAAAATCCACAAAAAAGACAAAATAGGCTAAAATAGTCAATAAGACAAAATGTCACATTAAACTCATAATTATTTCACTTTTTCTCTCATAAACATCACATCCAACTATAAAAAAAATCCAACTATCTTCCCAAACACAAAAATTTTAGCCTACTAAAATAGTCAAAAATTAAAATAGTCTACTAAAATAGCAACTTCCCAAACACCCACATTATATGCCCTAGAAATTCTTGAGAACGAAGAACTGGTGAACGAGTCCATGTTTTTTGTCATGAACGATGACTTTGTGAGTTGCAACTGGATAGATTTGAGAAATGTAAAAGAAAGACTCCTTAGATCTAGAACTAGAATGGAGAGAGAAAAGATGAAGGGAGGGAGAGAAAGAGAGAGAGAGAGAACTTAACTCTTTGGCTCTGTAATGGTTAGGGTGACGGCAAGGTCGAAGAGGAGAGAGAGAGAGAGAGAGAGAGTGACCTTGGCTTGGTGGTTCTGGACAGTGAGCTTGACGGTGACTAAGACTAAGAAGGTCGATGATGATTTCAGCGCCGGTGGACCATGAAGGTAGAGAAGAAGGTGTAGATCGGTGAAAACTTGAATTTATGTGTTTGTTGTAGGAGTCTCGTCAGCTTGGATGAGGGAAGATCGGTGAAAAGAAGAAAAAAATGAGATGGTAACGGAGGTGATAGTGGCGACAGTTATAGCGGTGAAAGATAAGGCATCGGCGACGGCATAAGAGGTGAAGAAGAGAGAGAGTAAGGGAGAGTAGAGGGAAGAGAGAGTGTGTGTGAAATGGAGTGTGTGTTGTTAGAGCATCTCTAATGGCGTATCAAAATTTTCATCAAATTTGAGTAAAAGGTTCTTTGATATCAAATGCTCCAACAAAGGTTTTTGAAACTTCATTAGAACACCGGTCGACCGACGCAAACGACTGGGCGGATGTCTGGCCGGTCGACCGGCCAATGCAAATTTTTTATAAATTTTTTCCTTGAGGTAGTCATCTGTGGGATCGACCAGGCAGATGTTCAACCGGTCGACCGACTATTGTAAAGTTTTACAAATTTTTGCCTTAAGGTGGTCATTCGGGGAGACATCTGGTGGTGAAAATCCAACAGTTATGAACAGTGACTTGATGAAAGGCACATACATCCTCAATCTGATGAAAGATTTTGTGAACCATTAGAGCAGTAAAAAGTAAGTTTTTCATCAAATTTAAATTTGATGAAGCATCTGGTGAACCCATTGGAGATGATCTTAGGGTTTGGACCATGTATATGATATATATATATATAACAAGGAATGATGGTTTTTGAATCTGATGGGACTTTTGTCTATTTGTCAAAATATGCATCATTAGATTGATTCAATCCAATGGTTCATATTTTTCTTACTTTCATTTGTCTTACTTGGACATTTCAATGGTTCAAATTTTTTGAGTGAATATCAATGCTTCAGATCAGGTTTACTTTAGCTCTTAAATTCTCATCCACAGGATTGAATCACACAGACATCTTCTCTCTTTCTCTCTCTGATTTTGATTTCAAAATTCTAAACTCCATTCTCTATCATGCCTCTTCCTCTTCATCTTCCTTTTCCTCTTCCTACCACACATCTTCCTCTTTCTATCAAGCTTTCTCTCTCTAGAAGTTTGATCTCCGATGGTGATTTCCGGAATATAGCCCCGGTGGTGATCTGTGGAATGTAGCTCTGACGGACACCATCTGCCTTAATCTTTGTCTCCTCTCTCTCTACACAGCTCCAAGGTATAAAGCTTTACTTCGTGTTGTTTTCTTTTTTTCTTTTTGGAAGGAGGTGAGAATCTAAGGTTTTTATTTGGGTTTTGAATTTTGATATGATAATCAATCTTTGCCTCCTCTCTCTCTCACTTTTTTTCCCTCTTTTATTTGGGTTTTGTGTGTGTGTGTGTGTGTGTGTGTGTGTGTGTCATCAGCACATGTAAAGAAAATGAAATTTTGGTTACTGTCATTTCTGAGTTTGAGTGAAAGGTCTATTTTGATTGTATTTTTATCAAAATTAATTTTTTTTTTATTGGGTTTTATATTTAAGAACAAATGCTGATGTTCTTAATTGTTATTTTTCTTAATTGACTTGGCTTATTGTTCTTAATTTCTTTACTTGCGTTTAGCTAAACCTTTCAGATTCACATAAACATTCAGTTTTGCTATAAAATTGTTAGTTATCTTCTTGATCATTAGCTTTGGTCAGGTAACTAATTTCAAATTTTGCTAGAAAGTTGTGGCAGTTGTTTTTAATGGTCAAATTTTGGATGTTCTGTAAAATACCTCAATTGAAATAGTTTATTTTCTTTCGGTTAAACTAACTGCTTATATAATTATACTTTTTTGTTGTTCAAATAATGAGTGAATCTATCATGATAGGCCAAGTAAATGATTAAACAACATTTCCTATAGAGAGTTTGATTAATAGTGCTTGAATGCACTTAGTGCTGGTAATGTGGATGTCCTAATTGATCAAAGTTATCTTATAGTTTATTCTACGTTCCCCCCCCCAAAAAAAAAAAAAAATAGTGAGTGAATCTATCATTTTCTACATTTCCCCCCCAAATAGTGAATGATACATGCCTTGGGATATTTGGTAAGGTTAACAAAAATAGAAGTATATTCAAATTGGTGAATTAAACAGTGGGAGTGGATTTTAATAACAAACAGTGGATAATGGAGCTTGCTTACTTATACTTTCTAGGGTAAACAACTAATAGGTCCTAATAGTTAGATTTAATTCTCATCAAGTCCTATTGAAAATAAATCTTGGTAAAATTGTTGTTAAAAATAATTTTTTGTAACAATTTTTACATACGTTACTAAAAATTGACAATTAGTGACTTTTTTGTCATGATTTTTATAAATTGTCGCTAAAACTTACAATTAGTAACATTTTTTTATGACAAATTTTTTCCATAAGACCTATTAGATAATAAACCCACTTATTAAGAGGTACACATAAGTAACCCCAATATTATTTTAATAAACACCATTAAAAATACTCTAAGACAATGAATCTAACACGGCTTTGCATAGGCCAAAATTGAGGCTGTTTGGCAAATTTTGTTTGCAACTTAAAAGAAAGTTAAAAACAAACATCTCAAATCTAAGGATTTTTTTTTCCTTCTTTTATTTAAAACTTATTTTGGCCTCGTTTAAAAAGTTGACTATTTTAATAGATTATTTTAATTTTTGATTATTTTAGTAGGTTAAATTTTTTTTGTTTGTTTGGAAAAAGAGTTAGATTTTTTTGTAATTAGATATGATATTTGTGAAAAAAAAATAAAATAATTATAGATTTAATGTGACATTTTATCTTATTAATTATTTTAACCTATTTTATTATTTTTTTTACAAATTTTAGCCCAAAAAGATCTCAATTTAACTTCTCAAACACCGCCAGGCAAATAAATTGAAAACTCAAAAAGATTAACGTGCTCACCACTCGAACAAATTTTCCTATTTTTTTTTTTTTTTTTTTTTTTTTGGTAGTGGGTTGCTCTCATGTAGTCTAATTTAAATGTGATATGATGTAAATCACACTCATAATATATACGGTTCACATATTTTATATTTTAAATATTTTGAGAAAGAAAATTGATATAAAAATGTAATTTTTATATGTAAAAGAAATGATTGACTGATAATTAGAGAAAATATGAGAAAAAGAAAATTTGTTTAAATATTTTAATAAATGGACAAATTACACCATTAGTCCCTGTACTTTGGTCATTGTGACATTTTGGTCCCTATAATTTTATTGAATCAATTTGGACCTCAAAGTTTGGCTTTTTATCTCAAATTGGTCTAATTGTTAATATATATTTTTTTATGCAAAAATGTGCATATGAATGCCATGTGTAAGTTTTTAGAAGTAAAATTGTAAATTTGATCAATTCAGTAGCTTAACTTCAACTAAATCAATAAAAAAAAAATTTGTCAAAAACCCTTACGACATTATTAATTAGACCAAATTGATGAAAAATTTAAAATTAAGGATCAAGGCTGTTTTGGAAAGATGGTTAAAAACTAACTTTTGGCTTTTAACTAAACTTTTTGGCTTATTTAGAAAGTCATTTGGGAAATTAGTAAAAAGTTACTTTTTAATTTTTTTTAATTAATATTTGTTTATATTGTTACATCACATTCAAATGACCAAAATTCCTCCATCCAAAGAATTTTGTCCTAGCCCACAAATGTAAACATGAAGGGTATAACTGTAATTTCACAGGCAGCTTTTAGCTACCTTCCCAAATAGTTTTGATGCCTGCTTTTTTGGGAAGTTGCAAAACATAGCTTTTATTTTTCTTCCCAAATGACACCTGAGTTAATTGTAATTGCAGGGACTAAAATGTACATAAGCAGTAAAATATAAGGACTGTCAATGTAGTTTTTCCTTAATAAATTATCACATCAAAATGAGTCTTAACTTTGAAATTATACATCAACCACAAATTAGAGTAACAAAATGTTCAAAATTTTGTGGTCCATGTAACCAAAGTTATATAACATGGTTACAATATTTTTTTTTAGGTCAATTTGTGACGATATTACGTATTTTGTAATTGATATTATGAAATTTTATGATAAAATTACATCAATTGATGCACACACTACAAAAGAAATTAAGATTAGAGATCAAAATTTAGGGACAAAATTATTTTAGGGACCAAATATTTTGTTACGAAAAGTGTCGTTATTATATTTTTAGCAACAAAAATTAGACATTAATAATAAATTATTATTTTTGGGATCAAATTTTGTCTCAAAAAATAAACTATTTTGAAACCAAATTATTTTGTCCCTAAAAGTCTATTTATTAATGACATTTTCAAAATTTTGTCACCAAAAGTTTTATTTTTGACTTTTCAGGACGATCTTTTAACGACTATTCTCGTGACGATAAAAATTGATCTCTAAATATCTTTTATAACAAAATTTTCACTTTTGAAGATCAAAACATTTAATCTCTAAAACTTTTATATGTTATAGTGATATGTACATACACTTAGAAGGTATATACATAGAATTTCTCATTATGAAAATCAGCAATGTTAGGTATCATGAAAAACCTTTCATGAAAATAATCATGAAAATTTTGTGACCCTTGGATTACACTTGGAATAAAGCACCACACACTAATCAAGGTAATCCAAGAATCATAAATCTTTCATGATCATTTTCATGAACAAATTTTCATGATCCCTAACTTTTCTCTATGAAAACAGCTAGAAAACAGTAATGTTAGGTATCATGAAAAATCTTTCATGAAAATAATCATGAAAATTTTGTGACTCTTGGATTACACATGGAATAAAGTACCACACTAATTAAGGTAATGCAAGGATCATAAATCTTTTATGATCATTTTTATGAAAAAAATTTCATGACCCATAACTTTTTTCTATGAAAATATAGCATTACGGAATATTCTTAGCATTGTGGGTGTTGCTAAAAAGTACAAATCTACAATAAAAACAATACAATACTATTTTACAATAACAGAGATTACAACAATAACAATCCAAGACAACCCTTGTGACTGATTAAATTGAATTCAAATTCTACACACCATCAATACTATTACAACATAATTTTTTTACGAATTTCGGAGGCAGAAAGTGAATTTGGGCCACATACAGATGAATTTGGGCAAACACTTCATTTTCTGTGTCCAAAAATTTGCATTTTTAATTTTTTGTTTTTTATTTTCAAGGATTGGAAACCAACATCATGTTCTTGAATTCTTCAAAATCAAGCAACCCATCTGAATTCGTATCATACACATTAATCATTCTCCTACAATCCTTACCACAATGTGCATTCCATAACCCTAATCTTGACAACACGCTTTGAAGCTCCTCACATGAAATATAACCATCACCATTCAAATCATAAACCTTAAAAGCCTTGGCAAGATCGCTCTCCAAGTCATCATTATCCCCTTCACGATCTTCGCTTTGTTCTTCATCATCTCCTTTTAAGTTTTGCTTAATGATAGAATCGTAAAAGAAGAAGAAGTCAATGCAGTCGAGGCTTGTTTTGCCAACTAATGACCAGAGCTCATCTAGGCCGGTATGAACCCCAATTCTCTCAAGAAGCCATTGAAGCTCATCGAGGCTCACAAGGCCATCGCCATTCCGGTCTAGCTTCTCAAAAATCCGGTGCAAGTCATCGGTGTTGAGAGGAGACATGATGGAATTGCAACTCTAGATAGAACAAGGTGGTGGAAGAATATATATAGAGAAAGAGAGATATGGGTAGAGAGAAAGGTCTTATAAATTGTACTGGAATTGTACGGTAAAGGATCGATGGTTTTTTGGGTGATTGAGAATAATGGAGATAAAATTGAAAGAAGCTTCAGCGAAGAGAGGTCTCTCGATATTTCTTCGATACAAGTCAAATCTGACTTCCACGCACGGGGTAAGAAAGAGTTAGCGAGGTGCCCATAACTCCACGCAACCTTGTTGATTAATTCACATATGGTACCACATCTCCATAGTATTTTTTCCATGAACAAGTTTGGAGTTTGGAGTCCAGAGTCTTCGTTCGGAAAGAGCTAAAAAATCTGATTTTTTAATTTTTTGATTATTTTAATCTTGTTTAATTTTTATTTTTGAATTTTTTAATTTTTGTGAAAGAAAATGTGTAATGATTTTAGTTTGAATGTGACATTTTATCTTATTAACTTATGTAGTCAATTTTATTTTTTGTCTTTTTAGTTAAAAAGTCAAAACGAAACATAACTTAAATTATTCAATTTTTTTTTGGGTGGAAGATCGTGTCGCGAAAATTAATTTGTGTAATGCAAAATTCATATCTAAAATAAATTTAAATCATAAGATGATAATTTGAATTCATAATATTATTATTTTTTCATTAAGTTATCATCAAACACTTGATTTAAAAGACACAATTCACAATTCATAAGGTAAAAAAAGTTAATTGTGTTTGCAAATGGTTTATCAATTCAGAAAAGGATAAGAATTCAGAATTTTTGTCCAGCTTTTTACCCAGATAATGATCATGTGGTTTAATAGGGTCTATATGTAAAATCAATCTCAATTATACAGTAATTTTTTTGAGCAATTCTAGGCTGAAATTTTTTTGTAATCCTAACATTGTTGTTTTTAAATTGAATAAATAGTTGTGAGAAAAAAAAAATTGATTAATATGTAAAATGTAAGATTTTGCTAACAGGATTGAATTTTTTACTTTAAAAAAAAACATAAAAAAATGATGCCTTTTTACCTACGTTAACCAAAAAGTCACTTAGCAAACAGGTTTTGATATGTTTAACACAAGATTTTGATTAAACTAAGGAAAAGAAATCAGACTAAAAAGAATACATCAAAAATAGAAATGGACGAATAGTATATGTATTAAAGGTTTCTATTATTATAAGATTTAGTGATGTTGATATTTATATAATAATTATTATATTAAATGAGTTTTTTTTTTTTTTGGAGAAATGAGTTAAGTTCACCAACTTTTTATTTTTTATTTTTATTATTGATCCACAATCGGACACTAGTAAAATACATTAATTTTTAGAGCAATTTCTCCTTTTTAACATTTTACATTATGTCAATTTAATCCAATTGATAAAATTCGTCAAAAAATGAAAACAAATCAAAGACAAAATCTCACTCAAAAGGAAATGAACAATTTCAAATTAGACATCAACTCTCCGATCAGTATGAGAAGATTGAATAAACTATTTTGCCCTTTGATTTTAGTTTAATTTCTAAAAAGACATTATCAATTGTACTAAACTGATATAATGTGTTAGGAAGAAGAAAAAAAAAAAAGCAAAAGTAAAATTGATGTCATTAGAATCACAATCAAATTGAAATAAAAAAATTTAAATGATAAAGGCTTTGTTTTTTTTGATAACTTAATATCTAACTCAATGCCGGCTAATCGAAGAACCAACCACATACCAAACTTTAAAATTTTAAATTAACATAAATTACATCTATAATCTTTAATTGAAAGATCAATCCCACCGTCCCCTCCAAGTGACCCAATTAAAGATTATAGATGTAATTTATGTTAATTTAAAATTTTAAAGTCTGGTATGTGGTTGGTTCACCAAATCTAGAGAATTCTAATGATAATATTATACTTAAAGCCAATTTTTGTTGAAATAAAAAATAAAATAAAGAATACAAATCAATTTTTGTTTTTACGCGTATGACATCAAATAATGCTTCGTGCACGCATTTGAGGTCAAGTTTTTTTTGGGTTAAAATAACAAATTACTTAAATCATTCCCAACAACACGTATATAATAACCCTTTCTTTTTTCAATTTGAGGTTGAAGTTTTACATGAAGACATGGGACTGATCATGGCATGAGATTCCCAATAATGAAATCTTTACAACAACCAAACTAATGAGAGAGAGAGAGAGAGAGAGAGAGAGAGAGAGAGAGAGTTCCCCCAAATTAGAGTTCATTTATGCAAAACTGAGGCAAGAAAAAAGAAGAAGAAAATGAAATAATAACCTAATAACTTTCAAACCTAGCAGCCCAACACACAGAACTACTCCTAATAAAGTTACAAAAAAGAGAATGGAAGATTTATTTTGGGCTGCTACAAGAATTACACATAACAGAATGTGACTGCTACAGAACATGAAGACAACTTATTAAGCATCAAATAATAGTTTTTGAATTAAAATAGAAGAATGAATAGTGTCATCTCTTTGGTAGAATCACCTTTCAAGGCTTCAAGCAAAACTTTCTGGGCTCATTGTAAGTCTTTTCCAACTGCTCAACCCTGTTTATTCTGAAACCCCGGGTCCTCACTTCCTCCGGTACTGATGTATCTTTGTAATCAACATTTTCAAGGATCCAACCTTTGTTTTGCACTGAACCTCCCACTTTTACCTGTTAACAAGTGACATTGTCTTACTGTTTCTCTCTTTGCAAAAATCATCACTAGAAGATATGTGCCAAGAAAAATATGCTATCAAATGGATCATTTTGAAATGCAGCAATTATATGACGCTTCATACTAACAAAGAAGATAGAGTGAAATGAACCGTTAACTAGAAGATATGGCAAACTTTGAACTACTATTTCCTTTCCAAAAAGAGTAAATGAAAATGATTTGGGGTAAGGAAGAACGACATTAATAGCATGTCTTGTCATTCCAATTTGCAAAACAATCCAAGGAATGTCACAACACTGAAAAGTATGAACCGCCTTAAATACTTAATTACAATCATTGATTTCCATGTACGTGATTAAAAAAGTGTGTATGTTTTATGAAAGATCAGAGAACTGCTCAAATTAACCAATGTCTATGACTGTCAATGTGTATATATCACTTAGTCATATCATACCTCTGCCTCTTCAATGGAGTTGATGACAAGAGCCCCATCCAAGGAGAGATCCTCGAGAAAGATGTTACGGCCATTAATGACCAAGGTAGATTTCTGAGAAATGGAACAGCTTCCACTAACTTTGTTTTTAACGTCTGTGAAAGTAAGTCCCCATTTGGGCTTCCAAGTGACACGTGACCATACTTCCACCTCTTGTCCATTGAACACCTGAAGGACTGGATCTTCAACCTTAACACCAGCCTAATAACAAACAGGGAGTAACGCATTCATATATTTAGATTTTCTCAAGTATTAAGCCATAAATTTAAATTTTCTATGCACTCTAAATCTGACAAGGGAAAAAACAAAAAGAAGGAAAACTAATCTCATATATTGCATTCATATAATTAAGAATTGTAAGGCAATGATGAACCAATAATTGCATTAATTCTTCAATTTAAAGCACATCCAAACAGTGTATCCCCTGGCTTCTGAACTCTAGATTACCTTGTTTCTCCAATTGGCAAAGTTGCCAGCTGCCCCACGCAAATGATACATACATAAATGCAAATATGCACATGTATATGTATTTTTAGATGCATATATGTGATACATAAATATATATATATATAAGAGGATACATGTATGCATGATTGATGAATATTTATACATGTTTTCATTCATACCACATACATTTGGCTCTGTCATTTACCATTTTGCACAGCCAGGATAGTGCCCAAACTCGCTTATTTCAGTACTCAAATTTGTATATGGTGGTCTAAGGTTTACCACATCTCCTATTTCAAGATTTTACTTCCTTTCTGTCATGCATTTCTATTCCAATAACGTCCCATGCCAAAAAGTTCAAGGTTCAACTTACTCTTTGCCTATTGGTAAAGTAATGAAGTATTCCAACTGTGAGGTCAACATTCTTCTGAACCAACCCAAAGAAAATAAGAGAAAAGAAATGCAATATACTTCTTATCTTGGTGTATTTCTTCTATAGCACTCTTAAAATATTGATCAATCTGGAATCCATGAACTTAATAGCAGGATAAAAGTTAAGGATATAGGTTGAGGTTGAGGCAAAGCCAAGGACTTTGTTCTTTGCTAGTTTCTTTTCTTTTTTTTCCTTTCCTTGGGCCAACCTGCCACCCTGATAGCAGTAGAGTTCTCCTAATTAATGTAATCAAATCCAAAATGTCCATTAAATATAGCATCTATTCTATGCAACAGTATCATGAATTCATGGCTCTCCTCAGGTTCCACCAGAATGGATTCTTGACGAAGAAAGCCAAGTTAGGACTTTGTGGAAAACTTCTTTCCTCCAACCATTAAAGCAATATGCAACGAACAAATACCATTGAAACTACATTGAGCATCATAAGATTTAATGTTCTTTCTTTAAAATATGTCAGAAGAGGGAACTACATACCTTCTTAAGTATGAGGCTGTTCGCCCGATATATAGCCATTTCCCCAGAGGTAGCACTATGATATGGATTTCCCTTTGGTACCTTCAGTTGAGTGCAAACAGATTATTAATATACAAATATTTTCTGAATTCAAAAACATCAAACTGACCTCCAAGTTAACAATCCAGAATTAAATTTCATTAGTAATTGCACTCCAAACCCAAAAGAATACACCTAAGGCACACCAGTTGAGACAACAACAACCCACTAGTTTTACAACTGATCTTTTTTTCTTTTTTTCTTTTCTTGATAAATATAGTTTTACAACTGATTTTATCGGACCTCTAGTAAGCATGATGTGGTGAACTATCAAGTGAACATATGTACTTGTCATTTATATCAAACATTGGAAACTTGGAAAGTGAATTGAAAAATGGCAGTCTGGTTGACATAATACAAATATATCAAATTTAATCAATCCCATTATCTTCTTATTTATCAGAACCTCAAGGATGAGATCTTAATATCATAACCAGGAACCCACTATAAGTTGGGTGGGCACAACCCAAGATGGGGCCCACTTTAGACTCTCCATGAAAGCCCATCAAAAGAAAATTCTGCACCAAGATAGTCAAGACTATAAATTTTTTGCTTATGAAAAATGTACTACTCTCTAAAATAAACTGTATGAATGTGACCTGATCCTCAAATTTTACCATCTTGATATTTAGGGCAGAACATTTACATTTGGGCTCAATCTTTCTTGCATGCCATTGTGAAGCCAGCTTTTGGGGTGAGCTCTACCCAAGACCGTGTAGCAGCCATATGATAAAGAACTATTATATATGCCTGAGTGCATATCTAGAGACTTGTTAAACCACACTGTGCGGACTCTCTGAAGCAATTTATTATAAATCTTTTTTAATTAATGAAAAAAACAGGCAGAAATATATTGCTACTTAGCCTAATTTTAATGGACAACTACCTTAGCAGCATCCTCAGGGTTGTTCTTCACAGGTGCATAAGCGAGCCAAATATCCATCACCTAAGAAAAAATAATACAAATTGACAGAAGTAATTATGTTAACCAATTACAAAATCAAAATTTAAATATATACAATAGACATAGCAACATGTTACCTACCGTAAATCCAACCCTAGCCGTTGGAGGCAATGTTTTAGGATAGTCCTGCATCATACACTCTAATCGTGTGGACGACTTAAATGATGATTTGGTAGCATCTGTGTATCTATCAAAAAAAGGGAGAACACAGATAAGTTACTAAGAAAAGAAAAAATCTAGAACAAAGCTTTGACCAATTACGATGCAAGGATCACATAGACAAATTGAAAAAATCTAGAACAAAGCTTTGACCAATACTCTTTATGACCCCCTCCTTCATGGTACTTGAATCAAGTACAGCAAAATACTTGGATTGTGAAGTCAAACTACTTAGTTCAAGCACTACAGTATTCCCTTACCCTTCTTTTTGGATATATACCTCCACTCATTTGATGTTCCATCCTTTACCCCACCCGGTACCTCTTCACAGAAAATGGCCAAATTAAAAATGGCAATGACAGTGTTCATGGATTTCAACTCTCAAGGGGTTTTACTTTGGAAAGTTTACAATATCATGAGGACTAAAACTTTCTGCAAAATGTAATTTATAATATTTGTAATCAAACCATAGTTACGATGTGAGTATAATATATGTAACCAACACAGTTAAGTCATTATGTGATGTATGCATCAGTTGCCTTCACATAATTGAAAGCAATAATTTAATAATTCAGCACCAGTCATATCACCTCTGCTTCTCTGCTACACAACATCATAATACAGTGCAATGAACATAAACTTCTATTAGTAATATAAAGGTAATAAAAGGAAATAAACTTAGTTTAAAACAAAGTGACAAATGCAAGGAAATAGTGGAAAACACCATGGAACATAAACTTTATTAAAGTACTGTCAAAGGGTAGCAAGAAATAAAAAGATAACTTACTTAGGGTTAACAAACTCCTCTATAGCACCACCAGTCTTTGTTAGCTCTTCAATGTAGGGGCCAAGTTCAAGAATCAACTGCAAGAAAATATGACTATAAGAGTCAAGCCTAACCAATAGAATATTTTCCTAGGATTAAAGAAAATAGAAATAATAGTTTATTGACACAAATAAATCCAAAGCTGATTGGAAAAAACTTATTTTAAGTGATAACGATACTAATACAACAGTCATGAAGAAAATTACTTGATTATCCATTTTCTAAATTTATAAGCACCATGCAACCAATTCTTCACAAACAACGTTGCATAGATATAGAGTTCATAAGTCGAACACAAAAGTCACAGATAATCTGATGATTCCAGACCATTTGATTTACAGATTCATTGTAGTCAATGGACAGTTTTTAAAGGGGGAAAAAATATGGTAGATATAGAGAACCTATTGAGTGCGGTGTCCATATGTTTCTCTTCTGAAACTGAAACATCACACCGCTGTTTGTTCATGAACTCTCTTGTACACCACTTTGACTCATTAATTAAAACCTTCCAGTAAGAACAGGACAAACAGTATATAATTTAAAATGGGGTGCACCATTTTTTCTAAGGTTCTGACAACTAAAATAGGGCACAACAAATTCACCTTCCAGAAAACTGTAACCACTACTATTAGAAAATTACAACTAAAAGTCAACTTCTCAAAGATCCCAACAACTCGGGGTGGTCGCCAAAAAAAAATTTTCAAGAACAAAAAGTTTCACAACCGTTGTGCTTCAGGGTTCGACCAAGGGGTACTTAGCTAGTGGCTTTTTCCCAATTCAACCAAGTTAGAATAAACAATATTAAATACTCCAAATTGAAGACATTCATTCCAAAGGAAAACAGCTTTTAAAAAAGAAGCATCTAAATAATGGATATAACCACCCCCCAGCCAAAAAAAGAATAATAATCTGTTATGCAATAAGATAAACAGGGGAACAAATCTGCTTTTAGAAATGCACATTAAGAAAGAAAAGGAATACACAAATCATACTTGGTTTATGTTTCCAGGAAAAGGAGAATAGCCTGTCTCACAGTTGACATCACCATCAGGATTTACAGTTGCTCTAAGCAAAGGATCAAGCTGATTGTATTCCACATTAATCACCATCGTCCTACCTGAAAGTTAATTTTTTCCCTTACTAGTAAATATAATATCAAATATGAACTCAGTTCCCACATGAACCATAAAAGTCAATATTGTTCTTGCATGCGTACTGTTTGGGATGTAAACAATTAAAAAGCAACTACACAAATCATCAGAAGGAGATACTAGGAAAAAAAACAAACAGACAGAACAAAATTGTTGCATCAGGATTTATGACGAAGCTTATGCGTACACTACCATATCTTCACAGGCAACGACACATGCTTTTTAAGTCTCAGGCTCTAGACCTTATAACTTGTGGAAGGCAGAAGAAAGAATTTGATAGAGAACCTGATGTATATAAATAATCTAAACCCTATGCTCGAAATATCAAGGGCAGAAGAATCTGCAAATCCTAAACAAAAGATTTCTCTTTTTTAATTGGTGAAATCTCACTCTTTTTCCTTTATACAATGATATTATTGCTAGAAAAAGTTTGATCATATATCACCACAAGGCACAATCTTTTTTCTTTTCTTCTTTGTACAAACTATGTTGTCATATGTTAATTTATGGTAATAATTGAAGTTTCCTAGAAACTCTAACATAAATCAAGGTTTCAAATGATAGTTTTGGGTTCCTATAACAGTAACAGCAGCATTGACGCAATTGTGGCAACTGGAGCCGTAATTTATTATTTTTTATTTTTTCACACAACTCTGCAAAAACTTACCCATACACATTTGACATGTTTTTATTTCAAAATCACATTTATTGGGATTTAAAATGGTTTTTGGTGGGTTTTTGTATATTTTTTAAACATGATCAAATATATGCACTAAATTTTAAACTATTTTTAAGTCAATATAAAGAGAGTTTTAAATATGTCAATAGTTAATGATTTCATGTCATGTGTAATAAATCCATAATGCAACACTTTACTATTATTTATTTTGTTATCAATAGTTATCGAATGTGTTGTGCTTCAAACTTGCAGGTTACACATGTAAAATAAATAAAATAATTTATTAAAATTAAAACCAGCCATTTGTTATATTAAACAAACTAAAATCGTATGATGCGCATCTTCAAGTTACATAAGTAACATAACATAAAACTTACAATTTAAAGCTAAATAAAAAAATTATGTTCAATCCTCAACGTTGACTAAATAAATAAAAAAATTAGAAATTGAACAAGGAAGCGAATCATTACGTAACAACCATAAGGGCCCATTATGGGCTTACGTAACAATGGTAGCTGTTAAATGAAATTCAATCCCACCACTATAGTGGCCCAAATGGACGTTGGGAGCCTTCAATATACGGTTGTGCCCGATGTTTGAAACACTGACACAAATCCATTGAACAAGTAGGCTGAGCAAGAATTTTGACCAATAGATCTTAAATCAAGAACATAGTGATATAAAAACAGAACATGAGATTTGAAAAATACATGTCAAATCACAAACAACATTCCCACTTCAGTAACCACAATAATTCTTACAATTTGATGCATATTAGTAATCGCAATTAACTGCCTAAAACGTTGAAACAAGATTCGAAGTAGACCATGGAAAAGGCTATTTTTCTCAAGTAGATCATGTTGAAACAATTTCCCCCTATTCTCTCATTCTTATGGTGCGGTTCAGGTTCTTTGAAATTGATTGACGTTGTTGGGGTTTGGTGATAAGAAAAATCAATTTATTATACTCGAAAACAGAGTATATTTGGCTTCTTTTTATGTTTTAAGGTACTTTGAGATATATCTAGTAAAATTTACATGCTTAGCTTCAACCATTAATTCATGGGTGGGGTTGTATTTTAATTTCAAGCTGTCTTGTCAACTATGAATAGTGTGCTTTAGTGAATGGTTTTGATTACAACTGGATTGCTATAGGTGTAGTCATCATGTGCATTGTGCCTATTGTAGTGCTACCAGGGATGTGTTCAAAATGTTGCCTTTTTTTGCTATCATGAACCATGATCAAGTGCGACAAGGGGTGGTACATCTTTGGGACACTCTTGTTTCAAGCTACTTTTGCCCCTTCTAGACAAATTTTCTGATTCCACCACTGCTTGCAATTATTTTCAGTTAGCATGAGTATTTAAGGGACATGCACTAGTTATCTGATGGAGACTGTGGAAGCATTGGATAAATTAACTCTTTTAGGAATTATTGTTCTACTATTTTCCTTTTAAATAAGAAGAAAAGGCAGAGTATTTTTAGCAAGTCATGTTCTAGATCCAGAGGAGTGTTAGCCCAATAGAATTGAACAGAATATGAAGTCAAAGTTCAATGGAAAAAAAAATTCACTTAATGACAAAGCTCAAAGTTCACCGCAACTAAACAGATGCAAATCACAAATATAGAAACATTATTATTGATAATATTACCATCTGCGTGAGTGAGTTTGGCAATTCCTCCAATAGCTTCTTTAGCTTTGCGAGGCACAGCAAGGGAATTAACATGGTATTGTTTGGTGGCACTTACACCCAGTGATGCTGGAATTGCCTAAACATACAGAAAAGGAAACGAGATAAATGTGTCCGCTTTATAGCCAAACTAAGCAATGAAGCCACAAAAAAAATCAACTGAACCTTGAAGAGAAGTCCATTTGTATCTTGGAAAAACAGAACCCATCTCATGCCAGCATCACGCCTGATAAACCATGGACATAGTGAAAAGCATGAAATTACAGACAAGAAAACTGGCCAATTATGAAATTTAATAGTATCCTCCATCATTCTATACTTAAAGGAAACGGCTATGCTTCAAGTATGTAAGAAGCCTTCTTATTTAAGATGAATGGGGTATCTTTCTGCACCCTAGCTAAATAACTTTGAAGGGTCACACCCATCCCATGGTTGGGGGATTACCCTTGAGTACATGCATAATAATTTATTTTTAAGATCTTGCAGTGCTAAGTCAGGACACCAAAATCAGTGTAAAAACAAAAGGTGACCTAGATAAACTAAAAACAAAACTCACCTATATGGACAAAATAACGTACCATATGTTTAGAAGACCGCTAGAATAAAGAAGTGAATGAACATCACCATGGCCATGAGGTTTCGTCTACAATCACAGAACATATGCGAAATAAAAATACACATGACATTGCTGAAAAATGTAAGCACGTTTATTTGCATGTAATATCTACTCAAAAAATTACATATGTTGCATAAACATATAAAATTACCTGAATTATATATTTATTTTTTGGGTCCACAGCAAGTCTCCCATCATTATCAGCTAAGCAAGCAACTTTTTCCTGAAATTGTAAGTAAAGTCAACATATCTTATTAAAAAAAAAAAAAAGACGACATATCTTATGATTCCACCTACAAAAATTGGCAACTTCACCAAATAAATTGTATTGATGATCAGTTAGTTACCTGCTTTAGAAGTTTTACTTGTGTAGGAGTCATTCCAAAATAATCATTTGATTCCAACAGCTCTAAAGTACGTGCATGTGTGTCATCAGATGTCATTATAACAAAAGGAATCTGTCTTTGGCATCCACCTACAAGTTCAAAGCAACAGCATTGGAGCTATTACATTTGTTTAATGCACACATATATTCTCAGCGAACATCATAGAAAAGGGAAAGTAAAAGGCCCTCTCTAGTTTCTTCCTAAGGAAAGAAGTTTATCAACACCAAAATTTAAAAGTCTGTCCTAATCGTTGCATACCTTAAATATGTAATATCAAATGTTAGCTTATCAGTGCATGTATGTCTGAGAAGAAAAGATAAAAGAACAATCTCATCTGCTGACAATCGCCTAAGACATTTCATATCTGTCATCTGACTACACCTGAGGTCTATATAAAATATATATACATATATGGTGCATCAGAAGAATCGGGCGTCACAAGATTAATTCATCTTCTATCATTTACATTTTTTTTTTTTTAATTTAGAAAACTAAACAGGTACCACGTTCCTTCAGTAACAGATTCACACCAATTGAACCTCCTATTACATGCAACAAGCTTCTTATTCTGAGATCAGTTAGCAGGTTGGAATATTGCACAATTTGGACCATCAAAGAAAAAGGACAACTATTGTCTCATGTTCTTACTATCTGTGCTCTGTTAGTCAAAGAGGTAGCATCATACCAAGACCCATTTGGTCCAATGGCATGCAAAGGCAAAACAAAGAACCTCAGTGAAAGAGGTAAGCAGTTCAGCCATGGTAGCTTACTGTGTGCGTGTATTATCTGAAGTTCTTAAATGTACTAAAAAATAAAGGAAAAAGAAAACAAATATATCTATAAGGCTTAGAGCTCTTCTTTATGATTCTCCTCTAAAAGCCAACCTGATATCCAAAAAAAAAAAAATCCAAAGCAGTAATTAAAAGAAAAATAGTAACAGTGTGACTCATACAAACATTTTCTGCAAGTGTCTAGCATGGATGGTCCTTGTGTTTCACAGGGCTACAAAATGGTTCTGTCATTTTCAATGGAGCTATTCTCTGACAGAACTCACATTACAAGTGTGTCCTCAATCCACATCCAACAACTTGACATTAACATAAATATCTACATGATGATAGCTAAGACTTGTTTGTATGTATAAACATTTTTCTATTTATTTTTTATTTTTATTTTCTGTGGTAGTATATGGAATATTAAAAGATTAAGGAGATGTTTCGAATTGCAAATAAAGGAATGCAGAAAAGCATAGTACACACAAAAAATCAGGTAGAGTCACATCTTGCGCTTCATAAAAATAGACAGCTTGCCTTTTCAATTACATAGTAATAGGCCATAGGTAAAAAAGCAAACCTTCCACTAGTTTACAGCTAGCTTCTTGTGAAGCTAGAATGGACTCAATGAAATGCTGTAAGAAACATGTTTCAGAGGAAGACTCTTGAGGAAGAGCCACCTGCAAGAGGTAAGGAAAAATCGTTAAATGTGAATTGAAAAATATTTATTTTACATGTCCCTTTTTAGTATCATATAGAAATACATATTAATCCTAGAACATAAATTAATAAATGGATGCAACAACCAACAATTTGTTCCAGCTAAAAATAAAATCCCAAGAATGTACATCAATTATTTACCTTAATTCCATTGTATCCAAGACGTTCACCAAGTCCCCCTGCAACAAGAACAAATGCAGCATTCTTCATTTCCCGGATACCAGTCTCCTCAAATTGAACAAAGTTATCATTCCCAAAAGTCAGAGACTCTCCTGATGGGACCTGGAAGAAAAAAAAGTCATTGTGCTCAAGTCCACAAGCAAGAAGGTTCGGTAGATGTTCTCTAGAAATTCACTACATGCAGTATGGATATATTGAATACGTATGACATCCCAAACAGAAAAGCTAACAAATGTCCACTGTTTGGACAGTTGAACTAACCAGAAATAAGCTCATACGGAAAAGTTAGTATAAAATATAACATGACTTTTTTTTTTCGCCATCCCAAAAAATTGTTCAGACCAGAGATACAATATACGGGCAGCCAATATCATATGATTTGCTGCATCTGTTTAATTCAAGAAATTCAGAAGCCAAAAGAAAAGACTGCATTTTTACAATCATATGATTTTATCAATGATGTTTAGACAAGTCCTAACAGTACACAGCTTTTTTCTCATTCTTACTGAATGGAGCACGTAATTTGAGATAAATTTCAGACAACACCAACTTTACCAAGCACGTCATGCTAAAGCAAAGTTAATTTTAGCTCAATTGAACATGAAAAACAATTGTGTGCAAGATTCATAGGTTACAAAACATAAAGAGTATGTTGCTTACAGAAGGTGTAAAGCCGTCAAATGGATTCCTCCCAGCTTTTGAATCTGCTAAGAGTTTTCTAGCAGTTTTGATATAGGAAACCAACCCCCCTGGATAGCTTGCATCAAGTTTAGCCACCTGAAAGATATAGCTGTAGTCATTAAGCTTCTAAGAATAATACATTTGAATTAGAAGAAGAGATGCAATTACAGTACAAATACTTCTAACATGAATCCAACAATGAGGTATCAGAAGGCAAATGGATTTCAGAGAGCTGGCAACAAAATCCCATGAAGACAGAAATCAAAAAACAAAATCCAAAAGTCAATTTGCAGTAGTAATAATAAAATCACTTATTGTGTGACATGTACAAGTACAACATTGTCATTATTTAATGTGGTATATGTGCAGTTGCTTTTGCAAGAAAATTTAAGTATTGCATCATCTAAAATTTTAAAGGGTAAATTACATTGACCTCCCCTGAGATTTGATAAAATTACAATTAGCCCCATAGTCTTCGAATAATTACAAATACCTCCACTCTAATAACAGAGGTCTTCATGGAACTAACCAAAAATGCCAATTTACTTTTTTACCCTTAGATATTTGTGTCAAATTACTTAGGTAAATTACATTGACTTCCCTTGAGATTTGAAAAAAATTACAGCTAGCTCCACAATTTTAGCATAATTACACATACCACCTGTCCAGTACTGGAGGCCTTAACAGAACTAACAAGTAAATTACACTGACCTCCCTTGAGATTTGAAAAAACCACAACTAACATCATAATTTTGGCGTAAGTACACAGAACTCCTATCCAGTAACAAAGGTCTTAACGGAACTAATGGATGATGTCAAACTATTTTTAACCCATATATATGAGTAATGCTAAAGACCCCATGTGAAATATTTGGTAAAACATTTGAGATTCCTAACATTTTTTCATATATATTTGGGTCAAATCACTTATTTAAGTGTATATCTTTTCTTCTTCTTTTTTTCCCTCTCTTCTTCCTCTATTCTCTGTATTCCTCTCATCTCCCTCCGGCTACACCATAACACACCCACCCCTACTTCACCCTCCGCCGCCACACAACACTACCCTACTCAGCGTTACCCATCCTGTTGATCCAAAAAAAAAAAATTTTGATAAATAAACGAACTTTGTAAAATAAATGGTAAAATGGTCATTTAATTAAATATTTTTTAGGACATCAGAAAATAATAATGGGTCTTTAACAGCATGAACCAATTTGTTATAAGAAGTTCAACTTTCTGAGAAGTCCGCGTAATTATATTAAACTATTGGGCTAATTGTAATTTTTCCAAACCTCAAGAGAGCTCAGTGTAATTTATCAAATTTTAAATTATGGAGTCAAATCTAGACAATTCTCTTCTGGTTTCTCATTAAATTTTGAACTTTAACTACTAACATAAAAAATTCCAAATTTTCAGCCAAATTAAATTTAAATACCAAAAAAATCGTCTTCTTTTTTCCTCTAATAATCCTTCCAAATACAAAAACTAGTTTTAATCAAACCATACATATAGAGAAAGAGAGATAGTGAGAGAGAGTCGGAGAGAGATTTGGATCCAGTCTTTTCCGTACTTTTGGCCAAATATCAATTTAATTCCAACATTAAAATCCCAAATTTACCGAATCTTTTGGAATACTGGGCAAATTATGATCTCAATTACTGGCATCTCTTTTTCTTTCTTTTTTTTCATTATGATCCCAACCAACTCAATTGTGTTCGTGTGCGCGCAGACGAAGAGAGAGCATCATTGGTATTGTTGGAATGAATGAACCACAAAATCTCCTTCTTCAAACACAGCACAGAACCAATTGGCCAACTCAGATAAACAAATAACCACAAACCTGATCGAAGAAAGCTCGCTTCTCATCATCTTCGATGCCAGGCTCGGGCCAATGCTCGAACAGATGACTCTGACCCATCTCCAACAACATCTTCGCCATCTCAATCTGCCAATAAACCACTCTAAATTAACCCTATCCAAACACAAACAGATTATACATACATGCATATACATATATGAATATGAATATATGAACCTGGTGAGGAGAGAGAAGGGAGAGATTGTTGAGGAGATTGGGAGAAGAGGAGGCCCAATCGCCATTGATGTGGAGCTTGGAGAGGCTCTCGGCGGCTGATCCAACCGTTGAAGCCATTCCGGTAAGCGAATCTAACGGGTCGCAGAGGCTTTCTGGTGAACCAAACAAGATCGGAGATGATGAAAACGAAGAACAAGAGTCCAAGAGTGAATAGAGTTGGCGTTAGTTTGAGCTAAGTGCGGGGGAGAGGAGAGAGAGAGAGCGAAACATGCGTTGTTGTTTTGTTATGTTAGAGAGTCGGGTACGAAGAGATCTGTGGGGGGATGACCGGGAGGAACCGGTAAAAGGACTTTTGAAAGTTGGCCGTGCGAGGGACTCTTTTACCGGTGATAGCAAGTGGGAGTAGTAAGGTGGTGAGGAGAGGCATATTCGGCACGGACTATAGCTGATGCGACACGTTTGAGAACTGTAATGCGTGTGGCTCTTTGTGGAAAAGTTATTCGGTGGTTTGGAAGCATGTTGGTTAATACATTTTGGTTTGGAAAAAACGTTTTTAGCTTGAATTTTTAGATTTTTAATTAATTTAATCCGGTTAAATTAGTTCTATTTAAAAGAAAAAAAAATTATGAGAGAAAAAATAAAATAATTGTTTAAAAAATAGGAAAAAAAACTAATTTATTGATTTTTTAATTTTTTTGAAGAAATGTGCAAAAAAAATAAAGAATTAATGTGACTTAAATAAGCCAATAAGCTGTCTTTTTTCTATGTTTCCAAAATAGGCATTATTGGCTTCTTTATTTTGTGTCTTTAGGTAAATTACAAATATATTTATTGAGATTTACTTACGTTGGGTTTGGTTGGAGGATTTGAAGAGGGATTTTGAAAGGAAAATGAAAAAGTTTGGTGAAATGTGAATAAAATATACCTACATTTCACCTAGTTTCACACACCTTTTTCCTTTCCCTTTCCAAATCCCTCCTCAAATCCCTCAGCCAAACACAACATTAAAGTACATATTGTTTCCTGTTGTTTAAAAAATTACAAACACTCCCTTGTTAGAATTTTTTATTTAACATAATTAATTAAAAAAATAAAATTCATAATTATTCTCCTACACAATAATAAAATTACCTAAATTATTAAATGAAATATATTTTTAACATTGTTAAAAACTGTTAATTGACTTGATAATTTATCAATAAAAGTGACGATTTGTTATAAAATTATAAATCTCAAGAGGTGAAATATAATTTTTAAAATTATAAAAAATAATTCATATTTTAATTAAATTTTAAAAAATATATTTATAATTTATTCTCTGTCTTTTTATAGGTTTTTAGCACCGTTTGGGAAGAAGGTTTGTAGGCTTTTTTGGTTATTTTAGCTACAAAAGACAAAATAGATTATTTTAGTCACAACTAATAAAACATCACATTCAACCCATAATCATTATACTATTCTCTCACAAAAAAAGTCAAAAAGTCAAAAAAATTTTCTCAAATCAAACATTTTAACCCAGGCTAAAATAGTTAAAAGGTCAAAAAAAACCAATCAACATCCCAAACTAACCCTAAAAGCCAACTCATAATAGAATTTACTATTTTTTATTATGCAAGAAACAACATAACAATTGGGTCTTTTGAGAAGTTGTCAAAAAAAAAAAAAAATCAATTTTAAAACAATTTAGTTTTTTGTCAAAAAAGCTACTAAAAAAGTCAAAAATCAAAAAATAAGCTTTTTACCAACTTCCCAAAACACCACATCATGTCCCGTCACTATTTTTTTTTTTTATCAGCAAAAAAGCTTTATTGATGAAAAGATCAAGATACAAAACAAGACTAACATCAACAAAGCAGGGCTGTGCAAAAAGCATCATAGCTAATCCAAACAATCCCAACTAGGTTGCTACCGCAAAGGAAGCCCAATCACATGCTAGCACAAGACCCATATTTTAGCTACAAAAGACAAAATAGATTATTTTAGTCACAACTAATAAAACATCACATTCAACCCATAATCATTATACTATTCTCTCACAAAAAAAGTCAAAAAGTCAAAAAAATTTTCTCAAATCAAACATTTTAACCCAGGCTAAAATAGTTAAAAGGTCAAAAAAAACCAATCAACATCCCAAACTAACCCTAAAAGCCAACTCATAATAGAATTTACTATTTTTTATTATGCAAGAAACAACATAACAATTGGGTCTTTTGAGAAGTTGTAAAAAAAAAAATCAGTTTTTTTGCTTTTCAAATTTTTTTAACTAAGTTAGTCAATTTTTTTATCCAATACAGCTCAATTTTTTTTGTCAAAACAACTATTAAAAAAATTAAAAAATCAACTTTTTATCGATTTTCCCACCCACCACAATGTTATATGTTCGATGGTGTGAAACATTGTTCTAAGACCACCCAATAAATGATTACCCTTTTGTGTTTGTCCCTAGCAAAAATGGCGGACAGAAAGGGGCTGCAGGTGGCCATGGGCTCCAAAGCTTACGTGTAAAATTATTTGATTCTAATATTTTCCTGTGAAACTAAAAAGTGGTGGCCCCCAATTCTAAAATTAACTTTTTTAAAGATTTGAACTAATGTTAAAACTTATTATCAGCACATGATTTCCATAATTTACATTTTATTCATAAAATTTTAACAATAATGTTGTAGTTTTATTTTTTTACATGATTTCCATAATTTACATTTTATTCATAAAATTTTAACAATAATGTTGTAGTTTTATTTTTTTGCTAAAGTTAATTATTAATTTTTAATATAATAATATTAGTATCTTATTGCCATTTTACTTGCCAATACAATAATAATGTAAGAAGGTAGATTGACTTCAGTTTAGGGTGTTGTCTGAAACCGTAAAACTCACCATAATTCTCGTTTTGATAATTAAAATCTTTTATTTTGTCACTTATTTTATATATATTATTCATAAAAAAAATTAAATCGATTTAATAATCGCAACTTTTTAATTTATCACATTTGTCACCTAAAAAATAAATAATAATTATATTTTTTAAATAAACCATTCATTTTTTTAACTATGATATCTTGCTAATAATAAAATAATTTTAAGAAATCTCAATTTTAAATGTATTAAAGTTAGCCTCCTTTGTGTAGAAATTCTGCATACTGAACTCATTACTTTTTGTTTAAGTTATAGAAAATTAGTGGGTTGCGGTGGTGTATGTACAATTCAGATAATTAATAATAAAAATAAATAATAAAAATTTAATAACATGATAAACTCATATATTGTGTGAACTATTATTTCAAAATCACCTAATAATTACTCTGGGGTTAGTGCGTTGGCTTTATAAAAAGAAAACGAATTGACGTGTGTGTGGCTTTCTCCGTCGTACTTGAATACTCCGATATTATTTGAAACAAATTAAATAAGTGTAATTATCTAGATAGGTGTATTTATTTGTTTGAGTTATATTTTTTTTTATTTTTTATATATTTTTGTTTAAAAATTTTTAAAATATACTTATTTAAATCATTTTAAACAAATTTTAAAACTAAGTAGATGCACAAAAATTTATTTTTAGAATGAAAATTTGATTTTCAGTTTTAATATTTTATGTGTAAAAAATTTTAATAAACGAAAGCTAAATACAAATAGATTTGTTAATGGTTGATAAAAAATTTTATCACTATGTATGATTTTAGGTAAAAAGTTTATAAAAATAATTTATTTCAAAATTATTAAAAAATTAGTGTATTCTCAACTTAAAATCAAATTTTCATTTGTATTAATCAAATTTACTACAAATCATGAATTTCACTTGTATCAAAATATTTTTTCAGAAAAAAATAAAACAACAAAAAAATTTATAATATAAGAATTATGACTTGGTTATAACTTGTAATGTATTATCATTATTATTTTTTAATAATTAATAATTTAAAAAAATTATTAATTATTAACTTGTGATGTATTATCATTATTACATAATTAATAATTTAAAAAAATTATCATTATTATTTTTTAAAATAGTTAATTACACTTTTCACCCTATACACTTGTCAATTTTCTAATAAAAATTTAGACAGAATGACCAAATTAAAACTAGAGTTAAACGGTAGAGATCAAAGTGTTTAAATTGAAACAATAAAAACTAAAGTATAATTTAGATCAAATGATAGGGATGGAAGTGTAATTAACTATTCTAGAAATGAAGGAAAACTTTAGGTGAGGACAACCTTGAACATTTATTGTATGATAGGAGGATATCACATGGTATTATTATGTCATTTGTACCCTATAAAATTATTATATATTAAGAAGGTATCACGTGACACTATTATGTGTGATTGATTTTTCATAAATAATTTAGATCAAAAGTAGATGAAAAATGAAAAGAATAAATAAACATTTCTTCAAATCTACTTCAAACAACATTAGCAAAAATGTATAATTTTGCTTTTTCTATGGTTCATCAATCTTTGTTCCTTTAAACTTGATTGAAAAATATCTTCAACCATTTAGGCATGTCCTCGCCAAAAAATAATTGTAAGTAGTGGTGGAGCCACGTTTGGGAGTGGTTTCAAGTCATACAATCAAAAATAAATTGAACTGTGTTCTAATTAGTAGGGTTTTTTATTTTTTATTTTTTTATCATTCTTCTCAATTTTACAATGGCAATATGTTGTCACCCAACTTATTCATAATTAGAGTACTATTTTACCATTTTATCAATATATTTATTTATAATTTAGTTTCTTCTGCTCTTAAGTTAAATTAAAGTCATAATAAATTGTGTGGGTAAAAATTTAGACTAAATGGTTGTTGAAAAAAACACCTTCTACTCTTGGGAAATAATACTAATATGCAAAATCGAAATTAGAAGAAATGACCTCTATTTATCACCTCTAGCAACTGTCAAACATCCTTGTGACGACCATCTCCTTGATTAATTAAGTTAATCATTTGATTTGCATTCATTATGTGTTTATGTGCTATTATGTGCTATGTATGAAATGAATTGTGATATTGTGAACAAATATGGTTAGGAGATAAATTGAACCTGTTTGAATCAATAAATCATAAGGTTAAAATTAAATATATGGATAAAAATTAGAACCTGATTCACATTAGTATGATTAAGTTTGGTTTAATTTCAATTAGATTATAAGGAGAAGTGACTGAAAGTAAGTAAATTTGAATTAATTAAAGTCAAGTATAGAATTGTGAACTTATATGAACATAAAAGAGAGGAATGGTAGGAATAAGTTCAAGATTTGACCATACATGGCATAAGTTTATGAAGATAAT